CTTACAGATGAAGCAATCGATATGGTAGCTAAGTTCGTCAATCTGGGCAGCTGTACAAGTCCAAATGAACTGGAAAAGAAGAAATCATTTCGTGAATCTGGAAGGCCAGGACAGCTTTTGCAAAAATCTGAAATTTAAGGCATCAACGTGACAGCTTGCCTGCCAAAGGGTAGGGTGTGCAATTCCGCGGTTCGATCTGCTCTACTTCATGGACGACAGAAGTGTCCACTGCTTTCAGAGGATCTTCGAAGACTCTGTGTTTGACCATCGGTGCCTCCGAAGAATCGCTCGAGTCTGGAGGGAAATCATATCAGTAATTCTGAGGTATGGCTCGTAGTTTTCAAAAAAGATAATGCCTTCTCAACAGGTCAGCCCACAGGTTACGCTGGTTACGTGATGTGTTTCGTATGCCAGGGCACCGTTTACCTCGCACTACCCTCTTCGCTCAGCCATATCCACGATGGAGATGATCTATGGGACAGTCAGTTCATAACTTGGCAACGAACAGTGCAACCTCATCAATGAACTCAGTCGCGCTGGTGACTGCCGTCTTTCCTGATGGAGACCCCCGAAAGAGACGAACCAACGGTAAATGACCTTGACAGGTGTGGCTTTGTTAGGCAGCCAATGACGATCTTGCATCAAATCTATCGTCCTCGCTGCGCAACTTTCTCACTGCCTGCCATACTGGACAAGCAAATCCATTTAAAGTGGATGAACTGGTTTGGCCATCGCTCTTTACGCATTTGTTTCGTCCCCTTATTCTCCTTATCACCCGTGAACGCAGCTTCAGAAGCTGGAACCGTTGTACTTCAGAATACGGTTGGTAGCTGAAAAACTAAATGAACTAACTGTCTATCTTTTGCAATGGACAAAACTGCAAAAGCTGTATCCAACGTACCCGTGAATCATGGTTTAAAGCCGATTAACGGAACAGAACTGAGACTCCATTGAACGTCTGTTTTTCATACGCGGATGAGGTATTTTGCTATTGAATGATAATAGTCATCACTACACCCCACTTCAATAGACAACACGTGCCAGATGGGGTTAATGGAGGTCAGAAGTGGAGCGTCTGTCAGCTGAGCAGTTGGACTCCATAAAGGCGGTGACCTGATTTTGATGGTTCTTTTCGGCGGCTCCCTAGTCGCTTTGGCCTTTGTAAATCACAAGTGGTTATGTGGATGCATGAGTTACGCATCCCAACGAAATTCGGGATATCCTGTTGACCTGCTGCCAAGTTACATACAGGTCCATGACTTTGTCCTAACAGAGAAAATCACAATCCAATGGTCAGAGACTCTGGTAAAGCGATAAAGCACAAGTTAAGTTGAGTGAACCCCAACGTGAACTCATGTGAACTTCAAGTGGCCTTTGAAGAGTAACAGAAGAACACATAAATTAACCAAGAGCAAAAAGTGAAATTAACAGAGGAAGCTACTCAGAAGGTTGCTGAAATCTCTTGGACAGCACACGACCGGTTTCGTCCTTCTTGGGGCTTATCAGACAGACACAGTCCCCGAGTTTCCGTCAACCTTATGTTCTACTTGAATTCAAACTTGACTGGTTGCGATAAATATACTCATTTGCAAATCATTTGGTTTTCACGAGAGACTCAAGTGGACCTCTTGTTTATGACGTTCATCTGAATGCGCTGCACACAGGCCGCGTCATGTTTCAGTTGGTACGATATTCGAGATATCGCAGTGTATTTTCATAAAGGAAACTACTCACAAGGTTGTTGAAAACTCTTGGATAGCCTACGAACGGTTTCGTCCTTCTTGGGACTCGTCAGGCAGTCCCCGAGCTTTAGCCAACCTTATATGATACTGGAACACTAAAACGTGCAATTGGCGAAATACAATCGTTTGCAAACTAACTGGTCGGATATTTATTTTGCATACTAGAGGCTAAAATAGTCATTCAGTCGTAATACCTTTCCGGCGTCTAGCTACGCTGCCACCGGAAGTAAGCACGGGGGCTGAGATACTGCCAAGTTGCCTGAGCCTAGACAGGAGCCATCGAGGTAGAGGTTAGGTTCGAACCACGGACCTTCTGATGGGTGAGGTCGTTTCTCAGCCACTAATCTATCTCGAGCTGAACATGCGGTAGATAGATGGATGTTGTGCACCCAGTGGTAGAAGAAATGAAGCACTTCGCTTGGTAATACCAGCAAAGTAAGACGATAGGTGTTACTTCACGGGAAGTAGTTTGGATGTTATCGATATCGGACAGAGTAGTGATTAGCCACGTCATCCTACCGTAGGGTTAGTTGCCGAAAATTCAGTATTTGGAGTTACTTTTCCTAACTAGGTCTGCCCAACTCACTCAGTCAGCTGAAAACAGTCTGCAAGCTACGTAGTTGTTCCAGCTGCTTCCAAACTAACGAAGTCTTTTACGCAAGGCACAGGCGATAGGCTGGGCGGTTAATAGATAAGTAGCTTGATAAAAAACGATTGAGTCACTGTAGAATGCCGGTATAACTGGGTTGAAGTCAGACAGGCTTTGCTGATGGCTGCCCGACCTAATCA